TAATCTTTCTAGTAGATGCATCATGGTAAAATGCCGCCGCCGCAGTCCCATCCATGAAGGAAATGAAGGCGCAACTTTTATCAGGAAGAATGCGCACAGATTCTATAGGTCCAACTTTAACTTGATTTAGAATTTCATCGACTGGTACTTCCGCCGGAATGTTACCAAGATATACAGTTCGACCGGTTGAGTTCGTAACGGAAGCCACTGCAGCTTGTTGGTAACCGGGGAATTGAGCGCTGGAAAATGCGCCTGAGAATTGCGGAACCATACTGCTTACAGTTGGAGTATATTGACCCATGCTAGCAGCGTATTGTGGGGCATGTTGATACGTTCCCATGGCAGCAAAATGACCGCCTTGATGTCCGTGGTGGTGATGGAATCCGGGGTTACCTTGAGAATAAGAGTGATTACCCATCATCATAGCTGACGGACTAACAGGGGGAAATTGGTGGCTATACAAATCACTTGCGGAGGATCCTTGGCTAAGGTCGTTTCTCATACCACTAGCAGACAATGAATAGCTGCCGTAACCTCCTTGTCCGAATCGGGCCTTCTTGATATTATCGTGACTTTGGTTTCCGTAATCGCTACTGCGTTTCATGGTGGATATGGATTGAGCTTCAGTATGTGATATAACTTTGCGGCTTCGAGAATCTGTATAATCAGAGCCAGCACATTTAGGAGCATCTTTCGTTAGCTTTGAAACACGCGTCATCGTTGTCAAAGCGACTATTCATCAGCCAGTTCACCGCTTCAAATTAATCAGTGAGAAGAAAAAATACAAACTACTAAAAGAATAAAAAAAAATAAAAGTACCAATTACAAAGTCCAAACTTTATTAAATACTGGTCTAATAATCTAATGAAACCGTCATAAAAGGGAGGAACTGTAATGAACTATACACGAAAGATTGAATGATTTGTGCAAGCATGGAGAAACAGAGAAAGTCAGTCAGATTACACGGAGAAAAACGCATTTTCAGACATTGGTAAGAAGTCAAAAGAGGCCACTGGCATAGCAAAAGCTAAAAAAGTTTGAAAAGCACTTACAAAAGATGCG